CTTTCCAGACCTGGCCGCGATAGGTGAAAATCCGCGAAGTAGGGACACCATATTTACAGTACAGTGTCAGAACCCAAGTTCCCAGACCAGCGTCTTCCAGCTAGCTGGCCTCCACTGTGGACCACAACTCCCAGCATGCCCCTCGCGGGTTCGTGCGATTCCCTCCACGTCGCATCTACGTCACAAACCGCGGCTATAAACAGAAGTCGCCTTTCCAGCTCACCACTCAGTCATCGTTTCTTCAGATTCATGATCAGAGTTTCCAACCTACCGATCCATCCCATGAACTATCAGCTCATAGTAAGTTATCTTACTTACTTCTGGAAAGCCCGGCATTTCCGTGTCACTTCGTTGACGCTCGAACGCTCGGGGGTTTCCTAGATTAAATCGTGAGCCGGCGTTTCACCGACGCTATCACTTCCGCGTCTGTGAAACCACGCTCCCTACAAGCTCAACTCCCGAATCCAGCCGACCAGTCTGACATACAGTACTATATTGAATTATCGTATGATCACATTCTCTTTTTGTGGGTAAAACTCAAGAAAAAAAATTGTTTTACTTGGTTTTTTAATAGTTTTATTACAAAAAGTGCATTTTATGATGAAATTGATGGGAAAAAACAGGAATTTCTTGATATTTCGCATAGAAAAATGCTGCGAATCGGCGAATTTCCCTTGAATAAGGCTCCAAAAAAAAATCCGCGAAGTCGTGAATCAGCGATAAACGAACCGCGAAGTAGCGAGGGATCACTGTAAATAAATCTTTCAATGTAATAATATATTCATTTCACAGATCAATGAAAGCATTTCATTTATATTATAATTATTATAATTGGCAATAAACAAACGTTCATTTAATGATTATTTAACTTTATTAGTTGTGGAAGTTCATCTTTTGTCCTGTGAAGCAAGCAGATAGATAAGGCCACCGCTTGCTAGAGAAGACCTTGAGAAGGGAACATGATGTAAACAAAAACATTATCATGTGCAGAGCTGCAGAGAGGCTCTGACTCCAGCTGATGGAATGGCAGGATCCAGCAGATTAAAGGCAAGACATGTAGACTCCTGTCTCCATATACGAGATACTGTTGAGGTAAACTGTACATGAAAAACGGACCATTTGTGGACATTACACATATTTGTTGAACTGACAATATGTTTAAGTCTAAAGTGTGTGTGTGTGTGTGTGTGTAGTAATGAATGATGGGTTAACATGAATGTTCATTCCCATAATGATTTATTCCTGATCTTAATTTACACCAGATTAGTATTTTTGTTGATTTTAATGTTTGATTATCAATATATTCACACTTTAATATTATTGTTAATGGTTAATATAGTCACGTCACATAAATGTTTGACATTTTATTCCACATTAGGTGAAATAACCTCTCTAACTGTTGGAGAAAGGAGTGGTGTCTGAGGTCTTTGATAAACGCCCACTTCAACTTCTCAAATTCTGATTGGTCCAAACCGATAAACAATAGTTAATAAAGCTCGTTCACTTCCTGAACAAGCCAGTTCTAGCGAGTTGTTGACCGACTGGTTAAGATTTATAGAGTCACAGAAGGTTTTGAATTGATCTGAAACTGCATTTAGCCAGTCCCAGTTGAATCGATGACTCGATACAATCTGCTGCGTTCTTTATAAGGAAACCTTTTACTGAGTAACATAATGAACTGAACTGTATTGGAACGTTTTGTTCTGTGAAGTCCCTTGAGACAACCCTTGTCATTTGGGGCTATATAAATAAAATAAAATAAAATAAATTGAAATGGAAATCTTAATCGACAACCAAGAGATCAGGAACATAACAGCAGGCTTCTCACAGCCACAGAGACACGCTGGTTTGAACGTTGTTGCTCCGTACCAAACCGAGGTGTGGAAGATAAAATCAGCTCCCTCTACCTCTAACTACATGTACAAAGTAGCTGCTTCTCTAATTATTGATTCCCTATATTGTTATCATTACATTGTGTTTATTTCTTAATTCTAATTTTGCTTATCATTTACTTTTTTCTTGTACCAAGTACCGCAGCAATTTCCTATTGTTGTGATTCACGCACATATGGCAATAAAACCCTTCTGATTCTGATTCTTCCATGAACATCTGGTTCTCCTCCATTCACTTCTTTTTGGAGTCACTTTGTTCAGGATGTTGTCTGGAAAAGCTCTTTGCCTCACAAACGTTTCCTCTCTAACAAGCTGAAGTCTTCCTTTTGTGACAGGGTGAGTGTGACCGTATTCAGATTGATCATGTGCCCTGGCTGCTTAGGTTAGTTTCATCATTCAGTTCAGGAGGTGTTAAGACTCTTTAAGGAAATGAAATGTGTCTGATAAGCTGCAGCATCATGATCCAGTCAGAGCGCTGAGGTCAGCATCTCAGCTGCTTCTGGACCCCACCACCAGATGAAAAACAACATCTGATGGAGCCTTAATTGCCACTTACACATTAGCGTCGGTACGGTCCGGGGAGGATAGCGTCAGTTCGGTCTCGATGGGCGGTGTAGTGCTTACATATACTGTAAGTCTGAAGGACTTCTCAGGGATGTGGAAATCCCCGAGCCGCTGGGCGAAAGACCGCGGTGTCCACCATAATAAGATAAACAAAGGCAGGCATGTGTGGCTTTTGGAGACTCTGAACCACATTATTTTGTTAAATTGCTGTGTGTGTCCTCATAAGGCACATTCGGACTGTAGGAACCTTTTGTAGTTCCTAGGACCTTTCCAGCCCCCTTTTGCACGCGTTGGACAGTAGGAACTAGGAACCTTTTACCATAGTTCCTAGAACCATTTTAGCTCCTACTCTGAGGCTGGAACTTTCTGTGGTTCCTACGGAACTAACGTGACGTCGGCGCTTAGTGAGCAACGCCCTTTGCTTGATTTCTGCATCTTTTCTGTTCCGAATCATGTTTGTTTATTTAGAAACAGACGGGACTACATCCCGGACACTCCTGCTGCCGCTAGCACACCTCGCCAAAACTGAACAGGTAAATAAAACAGTCTTAAGGCATTAGAAAGTGTTTTGTTTCTTCTCTTGATATGACGGAAGGAAATTGTCCATTTTGGGATTAAATCACAGAGCGAAAGCCGCCGAGAGCGAGCATGCGGATGGCCGTTTGTTCTCTATGAGCGCTGCGCTCCTCCTCCCCGCGTAATTATACCAGCTTTTAAAAAGCCCCAATTGTGTCCAGCTGCGCGAGAGCATTTACCTGGTGTCCTGACAGGTGGGGCAGCGTGTCTGAGCTGTACACTGGGTGCATGGAGGATTATTTTTACGGGTAATGGATCCTTTGTTTTTATACAATTGTTTGGAAACAAATGCTGTGTGTGTGTGTGTGAATGCGCTGTAGGATCAGTGGTGTGGATGTGCCGATTACCCGTTGTCTGTGAGCCCTTCCCATGAAACATAACAGGTGAGCGTGTGCTGATTAATTGAAAAGGAAGGAAATCAGCAGCTTAATAAATATTTCCTTCCTTTTAACAGAAAGCGCTGGCACTGCTGTTTTTGTTCAGTTGATTACCATAATTTCCAGACTATAAAGCGCACCTCAATACAAGCCGCACCGGGCTAAAAGCCGCAGATATCTACTGAATTGAAAACGTAGTTTAACTGAATGTAACTGAACTGATCAGTATCAAACAAAACAGAAAAGTTATTGATTAGTTTATTAATCGTCCTCCTGCGCACTGAAACCACTTAAGTCACCTTCTTCAGTGTCGGAGTTGAACAGCCTCAGAAGAGCTTCGTCACATACCTTTTCTGTGGTGATGTCAGTGTCGCTGTCCGTGTTGCTGTCATCATCCCGGGGTGAAGCTGGGAAAACAAGCAGTGCCGTTTTACTGTGACTTTCTAGCATCCATCCTTTCTGGTTGACTAAAGCCGTATGGTTCAAAGCGTGGGGAAAAGTAGCGGCTTATAGTCCGTAAAATACGGTATTTTGTTATACTTATTTTTCCTTTTATGAAACTCCCAATGTTTTCATTGTGAGTCACTTTTAGAAAGGGGGCCTGTGACGACTAGAAGGTTGGCTGTGGAGGGCTGCATACGTGAGAGGGCTCAGCCGTATTACCAGTTAGTTTGGATAATAGTGCGTGTTTTTATTCTTTCTTGTTTGCATGATGATTGCAGTGTGTATAAAGTAAATACATCTACACAGCCCTGGTTGTTTTGCCTCCTTCCTCCAGCAGAAGGTGTCATTAGTACCCTCTGGGGTTTTTAACTGTCTTGTTCCTTTTTTTATATAGAAGAACTTGTTTTATGCATTGTGTGTAAATAAAATCAAGTTTGGAGGAAGACATTGTCTCAGCCCATTGTTTGATCAAGCGTGATCACTCTCCGTACCTAAAATAGTAACAGTCGTGGGGCTCTAGGTTCACTTGTAACCAAATTAATATGTAGTCAATTTGCTTTCTTTTGGTGAATTTCTACGTTGTTCTTGATGGTCGTACGTGTGAACCACGTGCACGAACACATTCAGTGCAAACACACACATGCAGTTAAATGTCTTAAATTATGTGCATTAATCTTATAGTACAAGCAGTAGAGTTATCATCTGTAATATGTTTTAATGGTGGGCTGGTTTGATTAATATGTGTGATAGGCTGGCCGATCAACTGGTTGAGACGCCAACCAGTCCTGCTACATCTACATACAAACAGTCCAAAGAACTGGGTGTGTGTAGCCTCTGTGTGGCCCTCCACATACGGCCCCTTGAACACCCAGATGGTCTGTTACACATACGTCTCTGGTTCTGATCAAGTGGCCAAGCAGTCAACAATATTTACATACAAACAGTCCCAAGTCAATATATATGTCTGTGGTCCCAAGAACTGATTGTGTGTGTGTAGCCCCTTTGTGCCCGCAACCACCCCCGCCAACCCCCCCCCCGCCCCCCCCCACGACATGATGAACAAAACTCTGGACATCTCCCGTGATTAAGATTCATCATATATTTCCCCCAGTTTCAGCCGAGTGTCTCATTTAGTAACAAAACATGATTGTGAACTCTCTCAAGTCAAGTTTATTACATAGCCCATTTCATACACAAAACGGTAGCCCAATGTGCTTCACATAGTTAAAACAATCACAAGTGAAAAGAAATAGTTAAAATGTCACATCATGTTGTGTAAAATAAAATAAAAGAATATTGACATAGAACATAGTACACAAAAATAAAAGCATATTAAGTACAATTTTGGTAGCACTTTCTTTAACAGTCCTCTAATTACTTAGTACTTACATGGTAATTACTTAGTAAGTTAGTGTGTTGTTGTTTCTGAGTTCTTAAATTGTTATTACCATGTATCTCAGGTTCAATTCTAGTTTTTATTTTTATTAATCATTCCTAGTATATACTGCTTTACACAATAACTACACTTTATTACAACTATTCACTTTAATTACACATTATTCCTAGTATATACTGCTTTACACAATAACTACACTTTATTACAACTATTCACTTTAATTACACATTATTACAAAATAAAACAGCACAGAATAGGTATACATAAAAAATACATATAGAATAAATTTAACACAGTACAGATAAAGACCTAGTAGAGCACAGATGCAAGGATAGATTAATGGAAGTCATCATGAAAAAGTTTAGTATTTAATCTGGATTTAAAAATGGAAATGGTGGGAGAGGTCTTAATGTCTATTGGAAGACAGTTCCAGAAATGGACCGCATAGCAGCTAAAGGCAGCCTCTCCGTGCTTGGTGCGGGCTCTGGTTTGTACCAGTTGGGATTTATCTGCTGACCTAAGTGATTTTGAAGGGTGATACGTTTCAAACATCTCTGCTATATACAGAGGTCGTTGGCCATTTAATGATTTAAAAGTAAGGAAAAAGGTATTTGAAATCAATCCTGTAAGTTACTGAAAGCCAATGTAAATATTTTAAGATTGGTGTGATGTGATCATTTCTTTTGGTTCTGGTCTCTTGCTCTGTGTCTCTCTGCTCTGTGTAACGCACAGCCTTCAGACCTGCGAAGAAAAACAAACCTACAAGACGCAGAAAAAAGGATAAACCTCCAACCTTCATATTATCAGCAATAAACGCAGCAAAACTTAAATTTCATGACCAAAAAAACCCATAAAAATCATTCAATAAATCAGGAGGGCAGGAACAAGTCTTATTTCTGATTTTACATTTTTTACTTCAATTCAAACTATTTAGACTTTTGTGTTTTCATCTCATTTAGCTTGTATTTTATATAAAATATCATCAGCTTTACAGGTTAGCTGTTCCTGTGTGCTTAAAAAGTTATGTTACTAATCTTCTAAAAAAATTATCAAATCATTCACATGAAGTAGATTTGTTATTCGCTATCTGAAAGTATCTGATTAGTTAAAAAAAACTAAATTTTTTTTGTTCAATTTGGTTTTCAGAATGTCACTAGTTTACTTATACTTTAAAAATATATATATATATATACTGATGTACTGAAATACAGAGAAATCAACTTGTGAATACAATGCATGTTAATATAGTAAGTATAGCATGTTTAACATAAGCACATTCACACATGGAAAGTATCAATGTAAATAAATTATATGGCAGTAACTCTGCTGTACTTTCATTGTGTAAAAGGAGCTCAAGGGCCAAAAAAGGTTGGAGACCCCTGCAATAGATCGTTCAGCCCTAGTGGATGCTTAGATGATTGTTTAAAGTTTTCTTTCAGCGAAATCTTTGTCCACAGAGCTCACAAGCAAAATGCTCCTGTCCTTTATGGACTCTTTTGTGACCGTTTAAATTGATCTTTTGGGGAAATCTTTTCCACCGAACTCACAGGCGAAAAGCCAGTGTGGACTCTCATGTGTCTGTTTAAATGTGTCTGTTGGCTAAATCTTTTTACACAGAACTCACAGGCAAAAGGCTTCTGTCCTGTGTGGACTCGCATGTGATTATTTAAAGTTTTCTGATGGCTAAATCTTTGTCCACAGAGCTCACAGGCAAAAGGCTTCTCTCCTGTGTGGACTCTCATGTGTCTGTTTAAATGTGCCTTTTGGCTAAATCTTTTTACACAGAGCTCACAAGGAAAAGGCCTCTGTCCGGTGTGGACTCTCATGTGATTATTTAAAGTTTTCCGATGACTAAATCTCGTTCCACAGAGCTCACAAGCAAAAGGCTTCTCTCCTGTGTGGACTCTCATGTGACTGTTTAAATATGACTTTAAGCTAAATTTCTTTCCACAGAGCTTACAAGCAAAGGGCTTCTCTCCTGTGTGGACTTTCATGTGACTGTTTAAATGTGTCTTTTGGCTAAATCTCGTTCCACAGAGCCCACAAGGAAAGGGCTTCAGTCCTGCGTGGACTCTCATGTGACTGTTTAAAGATGTCTTTTGGCTAAATCTTTGTCCACAGAGATCACAAGCAAAAGGCTTCTCTCCTGTGTGGACTCTCATGTGACTGTTTAAAGTTGACTTTAAGCTAAATTTCTTTCCACATAGCTCACAAGCAAAATGCTTCTGTCCTATGTGGACTGTCATGTGACTATTTAAAATTGTCTTTCGGCTAAATCTTTGTCCACATAGCTCACAAGTAAAAGGCTTCTCTCCTGTGTGGACTCTCATGTGACTATTTAAAGTTGTCTGATGGCTAAATCTTTGTCCACAGAGCTCACAAGCAAAAGGCTTCTGTCCTGTGTGGACTCTCATGTGAATGTTTAAAGTTGTCTTTCGGCTAAATCTTTGTCCACAGAGCTCACAGGCAAAAGGCTTCTGTCCTGTGTGGACTCTCGTGTGACTGTTTAAATATGTCATTCGGCTAAATCTTAGTCCACAGAGCTCACAGGCAAAAGGCTTCTGTCCTGTGTGGACTGTCATGTGACTGTTTAAATGTGTCTTTCGGCTAAATCTTTGTCAACAGAGCTCACAAGCAAAAGGCTTCTCTCCTGTGTGGACCCTCATGTGATTATTTAAAGTTGTCTTTCGGCTAAATCTTTGTCCACAGAGCTCAGAGGCAAAATTTTTCTGCTTTGTGTGGACTCTTGTGTGTTTGTTTAAATGTGTTTGATGGCTAAAGGATTGAAATCTGGCAGCATCAGTCTCCTTATTCAAATGGAGATGCTCTCCCTCCATACTAGACCAGAGTTTCTCCTGTTCCTCCTTTTTGTGGAGAAAATCTAGGTGCTGGTGGTTGACATGAGCACTCTGTTCTTCTGAAGCTTCTTATTTAACCAGAACCACCTGTTGAAAATCTGTAAGAAACACAGAAACATATGTGAATTACAGACAGCTGTAACTGTGTTTTCACACATATAACAGTTGTATTATCTCTTTAAACTGACAGTAGAATGAAATATATTTACAATTGGAAACTGAACTTTGAGCCTCTATAAAATCATATGAGCCTTAACCCTCAAGTCAGAGGACAAAAATGTCCGCTTGTAAAAGTGGCTATAAAAAATGTATACATTAATGTTTGTTTTTTTACTTTTTTTTCATAGATCTGCTAAACAACTTCAGCCCTACTCAAACAAAAAAATTCAATCATTTTGAGGCTTTTAACCCCTGAAATGCCAGTTTGAATACTCAAAAGTCACTGATGTAATTTATGAAAAAAATAATAACAATTTAAAAAAAAACACTAAAACTGAGTTATTTTCTAAAAAATACTTTTTTGCCTGGGGTATTTAGCACAAATCAGTCTTGATTATGTAATGAAATATCAAAAATTTTGAAATTTTTGCACTTATAGTTGTTACATAGCAACAGATTTAAAATTTACTATACACGTGAGCCATTAGAGGACAAAAACGTCCACTTTTAAAGCAGCTTTAAAAATGGTCCAGATTAGAGCTGAAACAACTAATCGATTTAATCGATTATAATCGATTATTAAAATAGTTAACAACTTTTTTAGTCATCGATTAGTTGTTTAATAATCATATTTTACCGCATAAAGTCTATTTTTTACCACAATCTGACATCGGTTACAATCTGTTAAATTTGCCGCCAATGTGTGGCAGTAATGAGCCACTGATCTACCAGTGGAGCCGTAGAAGAAGAAATGAGCCAATAAGTGCCCTTGATTTTCATGACGTATCACGTTACTGATGCTCATGTTGCTGTGAGAGATGACGGATCAACAAGAAATACGGAAGAAAAATAGAAGCGACAAAACAAGAGAAACCCCGGACAAAAACCTCACGAGTATGGGAGCACTTCACTAGATGCCTTGAAAAGACCGGTGACCTGCAAAATATGCAAAAACCATCTAGCATGGCACGACGGAAGCACGACGTCCCTAAGTGAACATTTGAGACGAAAACATGTGGGGGCTGATGCAGCAGAGGAAAGTCTGGTAAGTAACAGAAAATAAACAAGCTAACGCAGATCAAATTTGGGACTTAGTGTTAGCTGAGTTCGTTATAGTGGATGTTAAACATGTTTTTTTGCCGCGTCAGTCTACGGTGTTCTACTTCTGATTGACTAAATGCAATCGTGAATCTCCTCCGTGTTGTGAATCATGCGCTTGCCAAATTTAGCACGTCTGTTTATAAGAATGTTCTCGTTAAGAGAAAAACGGCACAAACCCATAACTGTGTTCCTCATTCAAAAAAGGACAACTCCGCGGTGAAAAATATACAGACGAGCTGTGTCCAGGTGAATATAATGCGGCATAGTTGTACGCTTTCAATTTTTAAATACAGGAGAAATTCACAAAGTCCTTTTTTTTTTTTTACTATTAAAAGGCTGTTTTACTGTCTAACGCTGTAAAACGCCTCACAACACATTTTTGTCAAAATAAATGATCACTGTATATTGTTAATTAATTCAAATAATGTAATATTGGTTTAGTGTTGTAGTGTGTGTGCTGCTTTATTTTATATGTGTACTTATTTCAGTTTATTTGTGTTTCTTATGCAGAAAAAAACAAGCAACGATGGACAACTACATGGGGAACAAAACACTCACCCCCAGCAATGCATACCACTTACAAACTCTATTCTATATTCTACATTATTTTTTATGGAATTTACCTCTTATATTTTGATGCCAAAAAATTTTTCTGGACTGATATTTTGCACTGTTTAGCTCATTTTACACCGATGACTGTGTTCATGTGCAATAAAATAGATTGCAGTCAACTGCACAATTCTCTTATGTTTTTCTTTTTCTTAACTGAAATGTATTCATCACTTGTATAGGTTAAATAGCTAAACAATAACAAACCGATTAATCGATTAATCGAAAAAATAATCGACAGATTAATCGATTATGAAAATAATTGTGAGTTGCAGCCCTAGTACAGATGAATATTTTTTTCTGCTTTTTTGGTCTAAATCTTGGGATCAACTTCAGTTTTGATAGAAAAAATCAAATATTGAATATGTATCTATATTTTAACACTATATATGCCAGTTTAATTATGTGATGCTCATTTTTCATGAAAAAAGCAGACAAAAGAGGAGATAATTTTACATAAAAAATTTTTATTGAGTGACTGAAATAATTTTTTTTAAATCAGCCTTGGATATGTCAAGAGTCCGGCAAAATGTCACATTTTAGGCTTTTTTAGTTTTTGTGTAGCAGCAGATTTAAAATTTACCACCCTCTTGTGCTTGTTAAAAACAAAAACGTCCCATTGACTTCAATGCAAACCACAGTTTTTGATCCTGTATTATCTGCATCAAATATGCATGCTTTCTGTGATGTAATGGTTTCATTTTGGACAAAATTAGTCAAATTTATGATTTTTACTGTTCACCACCTAATTCTGTCATTTCTCCATACAGTATGTTGCCCAGGGGACAAAGTTTACACATTTCTATAGATCTTCTGCTGTTTTTATTGAAGTCAAAGCTCAGCATGTAAACAAAACAGAGTTTCACTCTCCTACTGAACATCAAAGGGTAGAAAACAAAAACAGTATGTTTATGCACCTGGCTGGAGCTCAGGTACATCCAAACTCTTTGTAGTTCAGTTTGTTTATGAACGTGCAGAAGTGTGAATGCATGCATGTGACAGTGACTCCTTGGAGCTCCTCGGTAAACTCCAAAATGACACGTTTTCCCTGGCCGACCTCAGCAGCCTCACCAGCAGCTTTCCCTGTGTAAACCTGACACTTGCAGGCATAGGAAGTGGCAACATCAGCAGTGACCCAGAGTTCCAATCCGTACATTGCTGGTTTACTTGGCATATATTGGCGAAACTTGCACCTGCCTCTGAAAGGGACAAGCTGATCATCACACATCTAACCCAGTGTTGAAAGGCATTTGGAGGCGATGGGTCCACATGTCCCAAATCGAGCGGATAGGGGCCAGCTTGTCCTGCCTGAGACGAGAAGACCTGTTCGGCTGCAGGTGGATTCCCCTTTGGACTGGTACACACCAGCCAAAATCAGGAGTCCAATGTATGCTCTCACTGCGATGTCATCAATATCCCACCAGTTCTTCACCACACGTCTTCCATTTAGATTTGTCATGTTGACGATGATTTCAGTCATTTCTGGAGTAAAGAATAAATCAAAGGAGGATACCACGTCGTAAATATGTGTGATGGCATAACGTGTTGGACTAGGATTCAAACATCTTGCAGCAGGAACATAGTGGGAAGTAGGGCTGCAGCTATCGAATATTTTTGTAATCGAGTACTCTATTGAATATTTTATTGACTAATCGAGTACTCTAATAAATTACCCTTTTGTGTTTGTAAACCATTATATCAAATAGTATGTTATAAAATATGAAAGACCCCTTAAAATGAGCAAGCAATTGCCAGTTATTCTTCAAGATTTATTCAAAATTAGTTTTCAAAACTTCAGCACTTCAACTCTACTTCACAGTAAACAAATGCGAGCGGCTGCGGCCCAAACAGCACCAGAACCGCTCAAGGCGCATGCGCAAACATGTCTCGCCAGCTGTTTCCCTAATAGCACACGTCCGTTTTAATTTCTACTTTTTTTCTCATACTAACAAGGATTGTCGAGAAGGCATGTTTGCCGTGATTATGTCAAATTATACTGATCACAGAACATTTATTTACTTTCTTTTGTTTTCCTCCGCCACTCATAAATACCTGTGTCCTCCTGCAGCAATCCTGAGGGACGACGGACATCAATAACAACAAATAAAAAGTCCGACGTGTTGTAAAAACTGCTATTTTTAGCACATTTTAAAACCGACGTGTTGCTACCAGATGCACGGTGTGAGCTGAAACCAAGTGCTACAAATGAAAAAGTCGCAGTGTCCGCAGAATACAGAGAAATACAGGCTAAAATGCACTACCTTGTAGAGGATCCGAGTCGGCTTGCAGAAGTGACATTTACAAGTGGATGTTTCCTGGTCAGGAACTACAGCGTCGAGGATGTGGTGTTGTGGTAGGCAAATTCCATTTTACAGTTTTTACACTGGGCTACGTTTTCCGCCTTACGACGTGAAAAATGGTCCCACATCTTTGACATTTTCTGTCTTTTTCGCACTCCACCGGGGTCCACATTATCCGCCATGGCTTAAGACAGGCTGCCGCTAGGGGGTGCGCGAGGTGAAAAGTGTAATGGCTGCGGAGCTCAGAGAAGTCTGTCATGTGTCACCATTAGCGTAGCCAGAAACTCATTTGTGGGTGGGCCTAAGAAAAAGTAAGTGGACACAATAAATGTAATTGAAAAAAGTATATTTTTGCACGCGTGTGTGTGTCCTCCACATGTGCCTAGCTTCATAATAACAATGCGCCGAGCTTCAGCACTCTGGCCTGCGCAAGCCGATATGTTCAGTATTTGATCATTTTTAACGGTGTTGGAGAAATCTGAAGGTGGTGAGTCATTCTGGCAGATTGTAATTAACACCTGTCTCATGCAGGTGTTCTGACATTGTAAACCTCACACACAGAACATTGTGGATGTAACAAAATAAATCAAGAAATGATTCTCATCCGAGCATTTTAGCATTATTATATTATTATATTAGCACCAGGCGCATTGCAAGATTTTCAAAAGTGTGGGGGATGTTGTCTGTGCCTAAAATAATGTCATGTTATTCATCTTGTTAGTTTAATTTCCATAATAGCGGAGCAGGTGCGAATTTTAGATGCGTCACGCACGTCACCGTTTTAAACATGTTTAAACTGTTCAGAATACAAATCCAGGCTTTGTCTCATTAGATTGGTGTAACTAAAGTTTGTACTGAATGAAACTTTACATTAAACCATGTTGAAAAGAAAAGGATCCAATTAAATGGTTTCCCCTCATTTACAGTCT